GTGTGATATAGTGCGCCACTTGCCACTACACCACCTCCGCTCTATTCCAAAAAATTAGGATCGGAAATCCTTTCCTTCTGGTTTTCTTCCCTTCTTCAAAACCAAAAAAGAAGCTAAGAGGACTGGGAAAATGAGTTCTTCGTGGACGAGAGTTCATGAGTTCAGGAAGAAGGTCACCCTATCTAAAATGTGGTTCAAATCATTATTTTTCCAGACATAACAAAGTACTTAATCGATGATTACGACAAAGATGATAGCGCTAATCATACATAATATCACGGTCCGATAGAAAGAATGGAAATGTGATCGAGATTGGTTCCTTTCCGAAGGTGAGAGTTGTGATAAAACCTGTCCTACCGTCATTGATGTTACAATCATTATCGCTCATAAATTAGGTTTTTCTTCGCGCTTTCCCTTTAAAACAACTCAATCAACATTTCGGAAGAAAACCATGCGAATTGAAGGAAAAGCGACGATCCCATGCGGTAATTCGACTTTATTGCCTAAACTTTATGATCTTTCCCCTTTTCTCTCCCCAATCCCTAGCCTCCGATCCCCTGTCTCTGCAGATCAGCAGATGCACTAAATTTCTCGAATACTTTTACAATTATTTGATCACAACCCCTCCGGGGTTGGTCATTTCATTTAGCTTTTCTGAGAGGATAGAAGCATTGGCTTGTACATGGGCTGCCATTTAAAACGCTAACACAATTTCGAGTGGAGTTAGGGTAAAAGGCATGTCCCGAAAATAGGCTTCATAAACTTCATAACTTTTGTCATCTACTTTTCGTTTACTAAACCGCAAGCACCGAAACGAGTACTGCTTGATCTCGTTTAAGCATTGCTCAAGTCACGCATTCAAATCTCGCTACAATTACAAACAAAAACCGATTGCGCGGCGAATCCTGGATAGTAGATCCTCCCCATTAGAAATGGAACTAATTTTGAAGCAAAGAATATGGGCCAATGAGTTTTGACCGAATCTCTAATTTGTTTCGATTTCGGAGAAAAAATTTAGCAGGTTTGGGTTCTGGATAGAAAGGATGTATGGTTCGGGCGAAAGTCGCTAACAAGAACCATGTTTGGGCAATGTCGCCACTTTAGCTGTTTCTGCTACGAGGTAAGCAAACCAGCCCGTTTGGCCCTTCTGCTGGATGCATTTGCNTAAAGGGTCTTATAATCCCACTCAGGGAAAGTACGTGGGAAGTCGCTTCTAAATCCTAGGTGGAAGACACTTCCTTGTTAATATGTGGAAGACATTGGGCGAATATATGAATCAACTGTTAAAGCACACCATTCTGTCACAGTTGCGCGGCAGCCCTATGTACACCGTATAAAGAACTTCCACCTGGGACTTAAAAGCAACTCCCCGTACTTTCCCTGAGTGGGATTATTATACCCTTAAACGGAATCGCAGAATAGGAAATGCATCCAGCAGAAGGGCCAAACGGGCTGGTTTGCTCACCTCTTCTGCTACCCCACGAGAAATTGAAATCACTCGTTCCGTTCTCATCTTCAATGCTTAGTTTCTTTGCTTCACGTTTTAGCCCTTTTTCTTAAAATTCGTATATCAAGGAAAGCCATAATGGATGTTGAAAAAGGAGGAGGATTTTAGGCAATCTTGTGTTGGCACTGAACAAAGAACTGGGAATTTCTTCTGAACCTCATCCGAGATCACATTAAGTCCTCTATAATATCATTTTACCGTTTTACATCGTTACAGCTTAGTGCCAATTAAATTATCGCTTCTTTTTCAATCTGTAAAGACCATGGCACGCCATGATGTACAAAACGCAATAGCAAACGGGTTCCTACATACCTTCCAACGTTTGTTACAATAATGAAACGGTAATTGAGAGCAGTCTCATTTTGGAATTTGGTCAAGAGGAATCAGTTGGACCACGATTTAGAGATTCTGCCAAGTGCTTCGGATTGGTGAAAGGGGTCAGAGCTACCTTCACCAGCACTTCAGAAAGGTGTGGTTTCAGAGTCTTTCGGTAGCCTTTTCATTCTGACTCAGGGATTCTGCAAAATATCACCATTAGTCCTGGTTTCATTGATACAATTCAATACCACGATGGAATGCGGCAATGACGAATGTCGCCGCTACTGCAAGCATGTACCGCAGATGGAATTCTGTTCAAAGCAACAAACAGAAAGCATTTCATTTCAGAGCGATAGCGAGGTCATAACCTAAGACGCTTGTCTCTCCAAAAGAACCTTCCCAGAAGGTCATTCTCTATGGAGAGTGTTGAGCGGTTCGAGTAAGCGAGCCACTGATAAGCTCTCCCATCACTAGGGAAGTGCTCTAAACACCCTATGAGCTAGCTCTCCGTGAACCATTCAAAGTTCCAAATTATGCTATAGTTTTTTGCCGTTTTCTGGATCGGAAAGCGATGCGCGTACTCTCAATTCCCAATGTAGAAACCCTACCTATTTCAATTAACAAAAAAAAAACGCGACGAACGATTCCAGCCAAATGGCGTATGCCAAAAGAAGCGAGAGGAACAAGCCCTACTAATGATCCTTCTTTAGTTCACTTCTGAATGTCGTTTAGATGCATCCAGGATTAGCTATCAAGAAGTCAGTAAAAACGCACCCTCTGATGACACACAGTCTCACAGAGCGCTGCCATTGAGGTTAAAAAAGAAAATTTTTGAAAAATTATGGAAAAGCATGATCAAAAAACCAAAACAGTCAAAAATTCGAATACTTCGTAAAAATGAGCTGGCTTATAAGGTGAGGGAGGGTGAATAAAAGGATAAAAGTAAAGTGTGGAAGCATCAATCAATCCTGTCTGGGAGATGCGCCCACGCACTCGACCTCCATTCAAAATCGGAGTGGCGTATTGAACGCGTGTGCAGCCTGTTTACGCCGGCCCATGAACAAGTCAATGCTTTTATCTTTCCAGACGAGTATGGTTTTAACTAGTCGACCCCAAAAAGATGGAAGGCTTGGTTGGCCTAGGCGGGTATTGATCCGGGATCGAATCCGTGACCATGCGTGTGTGGCGCCCACTTCTTGCCACTGCACCACCTTTGCCCAGAAAGGGTCGATATCAAAGCTTAAATGTTCTGCTTATCTATGAGTCAGCACTTCTGAGACAGAAAACCACTTTGCAAACAAAAACAAGAATCAATGGAACAAACCGTTCACTACTAGTTACATTTACTCATACAAAACGTATACAACACCACGATTTGAGACCCGCAGTGAGAGTTAAACGAGAAATAAAGAAGAGAGTAGAGAAAGGGAGACACTTTATCCTCGAGCTAATTCATTCTATGAGATTAACGTTTGTGACGAGAATTATGTCTGGGCTATCACAGAGGAACGACCAGACATTCAGAGCAGCTTCACTGCACATGAAAAGCGAAAAATTGAAGAAAAGAATGAAAAACCGAGACTCATTCGAACATGACATACAAATTGGAAGCCGTAAGATTCTCAAAGGAGGCATTCAAAGTTCGAGATGATGTATACGTAGGGAGTCGCCGACGGCCAGCACTAAAGCTGAACTGCCAGCTCGTCCACCCCAAGCAGAAGAGTAGACAACTCGTGGGAAGTCAGTCCGATCGTCAACAGGTCGGGGACATGGTACAGCACACAGCAAATCTCCAGATGCCAGTGACCAACCGCGTGTGCAACCGTCGCTACCAACTGAAAGAAAAGCTGAGATCTAGAAAAGGCAACCAAAAACCCTAACTGAGCAGTGGAAACTTTGTCATAGTCCATGGCAAGGAATCAGCCTTCAAAGAGGGGGTGTATAGCGAAAGCATAGTAAGAATTTGCGATACATACCTGCGAAGACAAAATTCTCCTGGCAATCGACGGCGCATGGAAGGCGAAAGTGAGTGTTCCTGTGGCCTTTGAACGACATCAGCTCTCTGTCCGTTCGCCGTTGATCGTACAATTTCAACTGGAATAGATGTAACTGCGCTAATAAAACCACAAAAAGACCAAGCCCATTGTTCACCGCCTTTCGAACGGCATACCTCTCCTCGAAAATTTTCTATGAGTACGCATTGCGGGTATGACAAACGTAGTTGGCGAATCCATCCACTTGAACGAGAACCTGAAACAGCGACGATTTGGAAGCTTATCGTGGCAAGTCAGACAGACTTTATTTATTCATTTATTTACTCTGTATCAAAAGCAAAACAACAAACTCTCGAACTTGTAGACTTTTTGTGTTGAAATCCAAGAGATGTTGGTTACACAAGTTCGGAATTAAATCGAAGGGAAAAGGATTTGGAGGAATACAAAAATCTTTATTTCAACTTCGTGCCCAGGTTCACAGTAAAAGCATTAAAACAAAGGTAAAAGGGGGGGGGGGGGGGTGAATGGATGGGAATAAACTTACTGCTCCATATTTTTTGATGTAATCGACAAGATGATGCTTAAAAATTTTTGACCAAACGAATACAAATGGGCTCAAATTTTCGCATATGGGAAGAGTAGAGTGGCAGAGGTTACCGCGTTTTTCGTTCCCATTTTTTCCCTCGAAACTGCCGAAGAAAGCACTACATGATGGTATCGTTTCCAAAAGTCAACATCCATATTCACGATACCTTCAACAATCACTCGTCCATTTATTAAACAGCTCTATTATATCAAAGCACGATATTCGAGCTGTATAAAAGGTAATTTCCTGATAGTATGAATTCGAGGCTTTCCATTACCCCATACCTGCCGTTATAAAGTCGAAAAAAGTCATGGGTCAGAGATGTGTCGTTGAATGCCACGCCCACCGTGGATGAGTTGTAAGGGCTTTGTAGAGGCCGCACTATCTCAAAGAACTCCCATGTAGGAAGTTTTAACAACTTGACAGTACCCATGGCGACAGGGAAAGGCAGTTTTGGACAATTTTGGCTTGATGTAGTCATCTCTTTACGCAATGGGAGCCAGTTAACTCGTCCAATTACCCTTTCATGCCATTCCCATCAGGTGATCTCATACAATCCCCCTACCACTACTTTGAAGCTTCGAAGTAGGCGGATTTTATCCCCCCTTCGCCGCAAATGCACCCCCCTATAACAACACTTTCACTTTTCATCCTGAAAAAAACATCTTGAAATTATCGCGAACTGTGCGTTTGACTAAATGCGATCTTATATCCCATCGCTCGTCCGTGACAAAGTTATGAATGATTTTGGGGCATCGTGCTGCATGCTACATGCTTTTTGTATTTAAGGGAGAAATCCTTTTTTTAGTTTTTGTAATAGTGAGAAAAGCTCGAAGTGAGAAAATCTAGTAAGATGAAAACAATAGAAACATGAAATACCTTTGAGTGATCCCGTCACATGATGACTTTTCATTCTAAGATCGGAGAGGATGACATCGCTATCTCTTAAGCCCATGTATATCAAATTACCATCCTGAAGTCAAATGAATATTATTCAGATCACAGCATTCCGATTTCAGAGAGAAAAAGGTACATTTTTTTTTGGGTGACTCAAGCCATAAGACACTGAAAAGAGGAAGGGAAAACTATAGCTCACTCCACTGCGAAAGTTTGGGTGCTAATCAGGTTAAACAACTGCAGTACAGCAAAAAAAACATTTTCACCGGAGCATCATTCCTAGGGGGTACTTGTTTGTCCTCTCACAAATGCGACTTAGCTGTAGCGTAGCACCTTCTGACAGTATCGGACACCAAATTTCTTTCGCCAAACTCGTTAGAATATAAGAAAAAAGTCTAAGCCCTGCTGCGCTTCAAAAAACTGTGCAGCTTTGATTCTAATAACAGCACTGAACTCCTACGCCTTTAATGGGCATAAAATAAAATTCCTCATAATTACGAAGCGACATCTGTGTTGGGAACAATTGCCAGATTCGTGACTTGGACAACCAATCACCCTTATGTTTGAATGAAATTTCGGCGAAATTTCGATTAGTAATATGTAATTTAACTATAATACGGAGCTTCAGAACAATACAAAATCACAAACAATGTCTAGATGGGAGAAAACAGATCAGAGCAAAGCTCAAACCACTCACTGGGGCAAAATGTTGGCTGATCACATTTCGGCGACGGCTTGATATCGTAAACGATTTCTCAGTGATCACATCCGTAATTTTGGCAGACTCTTCCATACCTAATAATACAACGATAATATCAAATAGTTCCATTATTATGAATAAGAAAACTCACCCAAAGCTATGCGTGTCTTGTAAGAATTCCATGCACAACTGTAGATAGCCGACGACTCAACAGACCACTGAATATTGTAGATGGGAGAATTTCGAACTTCAAAATCATCATCATCCGAGCACAGCGCAGACATTGGTTGTAAAACTACGTTACACACAGACGATATTCCTTGTCCTGTTACTCTAAACATATTCCTAGAGGTAGATCTCATTGAAACTTCCAGTGGAACCTATTCTATATTGTTTCATTTCCAACGTTGAACCTCCACTGACATTACTCTTCCGGATACAAAAATCACCTGGATTCTGCAGTGACATATAAAACACAAGTCACATCAGAATCAACTGGAGCCATTGCCATGTCTACGAGAACTGGCTGGGCTACATCTACGGTTTCACCATCCAATACAAATTCCAGGCCTGAACAATTATAGGAAGCAGTGTAAAAACAAAATCACCAATAGCAAAAGATTACAACCCACCTAATGTATTACATGATGTACCAAATGTATTACGCAATTTGAAATCATCTACGCTCTCGGCAGCTTTTCTAAAAGAACTGAATCATCACAACGGGACGGTGAATAGAAGAGAAAAGGGACTCTCTCGGGCAGAAATCAGAGCTCAATCTTCCTAATATCGTGTTAAAAAGATCAGTGTGCCCGAGATAGAGCAATTTTCCCAGACGAAACAAACTTGGGGAGACATTACCAAAGAAAGGAGTAAACGCAATACTCAAAATTAATCTTGTTTCTTAAGAAACGCCACGAACTTAAATGCTTTGATAGGTATTGCACAAACCTTGCCAAATTGTCGTTGAAGTGTGTTCTCAAGCAAGCAAACTTTGCCGCTTTTCTGCTATTTCTTGAACCATCTCCAATAGCCCAGCAACCCATCACTTTCGAATCGTCGCAGCCTCCCACAAGTTCCAGGAACTGACATCCTTTAACATGCTCGCCTGATGAACCCAAAGGGGTCTGAAAACGAAAATTGTCTGCATCTGCAATAACACAGACTCTTTGGGTAATTATACCCAAACTGCTCGCGTGGAGCAACATTTATGGAGGAAAAATATCGCGGGAGCGGTTACTCCCGTCCAACAAATATCAACAACAATTGGACAAGGAACTGGTTTACAGACGAAAGGGAAAAATCATGAACAAGTAGGAGATACATGCGAAATGTAAAGCGGACAATTCTATGGGATGAAGCCTGGAAAACTGGATTATCTACAAACGCCTGCGGCGATACAGCCCGGTTTGAATACGCAGTTTCCGCAAAAGCAAAGAATACACCCTATGCACCAATACTGTTTATAGGACATTTTTGTCACAGGCAACTGATATCAGTTGTAGTTGTTGTTTTAGCACTTGACGTAGAAAATTGAAAGCAGATAAAAATGCTAACGAAAACAAGGTTACAAAGACGTCAAGAGAAGTTTTGTCGTTTTCGTTGCCTACGCTGTCCTCTAACAGACCCTACTGATTCTAACATAGATTCTGTCGTATTATCGAATGAATGGGTGAAATTCACCCAAAGAAACAATGCTCTGAGCACTGTTATACTTGTTTTGCCATCTAGCAAATCGAAAGTAGCAATTAGATCATTTGTATCAGGGAACAAGGATGAGACATTGTTCACCACTGATTCCATACCTTTAACCTCCCGGTTTCGAAGGAACTAACAAGAACACTATTGGAACTGATAGTTTTTCTGCTACCTTAACACTATGCAGAAGTATATAGATAAGCGCGATGCCCTATTCCGCGCTGGTCCAGGAGAACTTCTATTAATCGATAAAAGGCTTATTCGGGAATTAGGACCGTGTATTTCACTGCCACATTGCCTCTCATTCACTCCTTTCTGTAACTAACCAATCGGCATGATCACTTACTGGCGTCTATGGCGAAGCTCAGCACTAAAACCCGCTGGAAAGGAGCAACCATTGCTGCTCGTTTACATTTGAAAACATCAGTATATCATTTCCGAGCACTTCTGCCGCTGTTCCTGTTACATTAGCGGCAAGTAATGATTTAGTGAATACCTCAAATCATGAAACCACTAGAATTAAGGTCGCAGACCACAGAAATACCGGTTGGGATGCTCACGTGCACAACCGGCGGTGCACGAATTTCATACGCAAGAATTCCTGCGTGCATATCCAACGGCTCAAGTGGGTGTAAAAGAGTCGAAGATAAACAGCGGCAACTGATTCATCCATGCCCCTCTTACAACGAAATCGAACTGTGATGCTGTTCGAGTGATCATTTAAACAATCAAAAATGTTAGGAAAAGATACCTCCTGAACGGCATTTGGAGTAGAACCAATCCTTAGCAAACGGCTTTCATACACATTCCTTATTACATGATTGAATCTACGAACACCCAGAGAACGATCTGAACCATTTCGGGTTGCCATCAAGAAAGTAACCAAATAGCGAGACGAACCAAATAACACCAACCTGATACTGCGGTTATTGTTGGAATAGTTGACCGCATACGACCGGAAATGCTCTCCTGAGAACGACCTAAGGCTAACTGTTCGCATCGCTCCCTTTCTCGTCGACTTCTAGCGATACCTTTTGGCGTGTAGTTGTTGATCTCAAACATTTACTTTCACGTGATGTTAAAGCGGGTGCAATTGTAAAATGAGCTTAAATAATTCCAAACACAGAACGGCGAACAATCACGAGCAAAGACAAAGACGTTTTCAGAGCAAACCTTTAGGCAGCGTCTGCGTTCGAGGAGTCATGCTATTTAATGGTACAAAGAACATGAATACATCAAACAATGAACTAATTGTGACTCAGAACTTCCCAACTCTCACTCTTTGTAAAAAGGATCGATACAGAAAAGAACCAATAATAACTAACAAAACTAGAACCATGACTATATCAACAAAAACATGGACGTACCCCGCTGTGGTCAGGTGCTATTCTGAAGTGCTTCCTAGTAGTCGGATCAAAAACGAAACCAGGGAAATATGGGCATGTTTCATCTAATGGATTTCTCTCTTCAACGACTGCGAATTCGTCGCCCATTACGACATCTAAATATGAAATATGTGGTTGAAAAATGAAAACAAGACTGATTACGTACTAACCGTGGACCTCCGTATGGTTTCTACTACGGCGTCCACGCCTTCGTTTATGGCCAGTTTCCCTGCCATTGATTGAAAAATTTTGTCGACGAATAGTGTGGTTCGAATTGTACTGGAAAGAAAATGTTTGTTTATAGGTATACCAACAGCGTCAATTCAAATTCGATGCATAACGCAGCTATATACCGCCCACTAAAAAACATTATGATCCTGGTGTTTCCCAGCCGGACTCGATAACCAACCAAAAAATCGGGCTTCAAAAACCTACCTGAGGACAAGCAATGTGGGTCACCTGCAGTGGTTCCTGTCTGTATGCCCAACGTCTTCGGTTACCATTACCTGAACAACGAATCGTTTAACACAATGTACAGCCTCCCTGTTCTAGAACGACGAAAACCATGAATATCATGACAAAGATGAATTCCAGAACAAATCGTTTCGGTTCCATTTCTCTCTTTTGCCTCCGCTCATACCGCTGCATTTAACTGGGCTTTTTATGATGCTGACTTTACGTATTTCATAAGCATTACGTAAGAAATATGCGAATAAATGACATGTGAGTCAGATCTCCTATTCAAATAGTTCAGAAGCACATTCTCTCAAAGGAGGAATTTCTGTTTTCACAAACTTCGTGTTTTCCAGAACCTATAATGCACCAAGTCCTGATCATTTGCCGTCTAACGATTATGATCGGTAATTAGAAAAAGGAGTAATAACCATGCACTTCAAACAAACAACACTTGCATCAGTTCGACTGATACCGCTAAAATCTAACTCTTATATGATTGGCTAATGAAATGAATGATTGAATTTCAGAAAAAAAATCATAATTTCGGTAAGGGAGAGCATTGCTCTTCAGTATCAAGCAATCGTAGAAGCCTTTCAATGGTGCGAACCAAGAAAGGCACTGAATTATCGAAGTTTGTTGGGACTCTTAACACATATAGTTATCTTGAAAGTACCGTTAAATAGGACTACTACACTTTCAGGTGGAAGTAAGCATTTTCAACTCATTATAGTTCAAACATTCCATTAAACGAGTATGCTTCTAAATTATTTTCGACAATTTTCGATTGTTGAGGTATAAATAGTAAGTAGGTTCTTTATTCTGGAAGAGCCATTGCTTACATCGGCAGCATTACTCTTTATTACCAATATATATATATATATTGATTCTTTTTCAAATCAGTGAGTTAGATAGTGAACTTTACGGGCTTCTCTCTGTTTGGCAAATTGAAACCGATAGTAAAATCAGAAGTATAACTATAGATCAAAGTATGCCATGGAAAGTATCTAACCAGGTGTTGCTCTAGAATCTTCTTCTAACTATAGATAGTCTTTCGCGATGAAACCAAAAATTTTCTGAACTAGCGCAAAGCAGTTCTACATATCTTGAATCACAAAGTGCAAGAATGACCACTTTAAGCACTCTGCTAGGTGTGATAATTATATTTTTGAATACCTTACGAACTGCGGGTTGAGGCTCTGGCGTCTTACTTCTAGCGGCGGCATTTTGATCGCCAATAGGTTATAAAACGCAATTAATGTACAAGATAACAAAAATGCCTACGAAATGTGCTTTCTCGAAGTATCGATTACTTTTGCTGGTCTTTTTCGAACACAAATCGAAATATACAGATATTTTGCAAAATCTAAAAATGGTAATGAAAGTAGATTGGCTCACCACGAACAGTTGATGAAGTAGGAATCCCAAGTGCACCGTCTTGGGAGTTGAAACATGTACGTCGGGTAGAAGCGTTTCTTGAACGAGGTTGATCTTCTCGTGAAGACGAAGCGTTCAGGCCCACTCGCCCCCCACTATTCATCCAGTGTGTGTGCTCCTGCTTACTATGAGAAGTTTCTACGTCAATTGGCCGAGCTCTATCTGAAAAATTCGTAACTTAATCCATGTGGAGAAGTAAAAAAATGGCTATTTCTGATTGGCTAAGAAACAACGGACTCAGGCTCGAACTGTATTACAAGGAAGAATGAGAAATGAGAAAAATTAATCAAACAAAGGTAAACGTCCTACTTGTGCGGATCATTCCTAGTCAAAGCTTAAATGTCATCATTAGCTAGAAATAGAGGTAATAAAGGTTCAAGTAGGTTGATAAGAAGGTAGAAAACTTGATATTTCCCCCTGCTATCAGAGAAATCGCTACATGAGTTTTCGCATCATCAGCTGATGTCATGTGGTTGTTGCTGCGTTGTCATTAGAGCGCGACATTGTTCGGGGCAGTTTTGGGACGACTCCAACGTAGAGAAGGGTGAGCTGGGCAAGGAATGGCGTTGGCCCGTATTAGAAGGTGCTTGCATTTCCCTCTGAATGACATTGCTCTCTTCTCTGCCTGCTATTGTAGGCCTACAAGACTTATGCACCCATAAAAGGGTGCTCAATGGACGAATCTTTGTTAGAATGCTTAAAAGCGCAGTTCACGATAAGCTTGGTTCCAGAGAATTTTCTTAGGATGAACCTGTTACCCCGATGAATGCCTAAGGGACATGTCGAGTGGAAGAACAGTCAAGATAGAGGTCCTGAAATCGGCTTAGCCGACATACACGCCCCAAAGCGGACGAGTTTTCACGGCGTTGCAGAGGCCGTGGGGGTTGCACAGTTCGCATCGGAAAGCACACGCACGCAGGCAACGTAATGTAGCCGCTGTACGCAATGGCACACATTTGGGCAACTCGTCAAAATATCGCTTCCATGAAACTTCTATCGTCACATCCTTGTGTAATCTCTATTTTTACTTCTTTTTTGGAGCCATATATTTCTCTAAAAATACAGATTCTCGCGTTTTCTTCGCCATTGTTGCACTTTTTTTGGACTATCACATGTATTATCTAGTAAAACTAGATACACCTGAATTATCGTGAAATTTGCTCAGGAGGGAGAGCCTGTCTTTTGCACCACCATGGTTATGCTTTGAATCAATGGGATGTAATACCAATTGTCAGAAGCATGACGGTATTTCCAATGGTCTTCTGATCTGCTTAGCTGGTAACTATCAGCTAACTTAAAGTCAATCTTGTTAAAACCTTCTCAATTGAAGGATTCGGTGAATGGAACTGAGAAAATCGGAAAAAGGAGCTTGCAAGTAAAAAAATAGACCAAATACAGACTCAATGAATCCTTGCGTAAGAAAAGGCTCTTTAATTCAGTATATAACTGGCTATCTGAGCCACTTCAATAGCTTTTCAGGGTCGTAGACCCCCACCAAGACATAGAATTCAGTATGGGTCAGGATCCCTAGAAGAATACTCGTCGTAAAGTCATTACTGAACCAATGTCATTAGGTCAAGTTTGATGCCAAGGACAATTTTATTAGTCACATGTGTTANAATTCAGTATATAACTGGCTATCTGAGCCACTTCAATAGCTTTTCAGGGTCGTAGACCCCCACCAAGACATAGAATCCAGTATGGGTCAGGATTCCTACACAATACTCGTCGTAAAGTCATTACTGAACCAATGTCATTAGGTCAAGTTTGATGCCAAGGACAATTTTATTAGTCACATGTGTTATTTGTTGACAGAATTACGAATGGATAATGTGATTATAATAGAAATTCAGATCAGCCCCGGTTTTCGCCCTCGTCGTAGACTATGTCCTTCTAGAAGATAGGAGGAGTAGGCCAGTGGGCGAGATTTCCCCAATTCATGAGTTATATGATGGATTGCCATTGAACTCTGGCAAAGGAACAGGAAAGAGCAGAAGTCAAGTGTGCCATTCAGCTACACAAAAAAGCCCTGGAAATGTTTCTATAGACTGAGATCCGTGGAACTTCTCCACTTCCATTCCTGACTCCCTTATAGCACGTCCTGGAGAAGCCTCCATTCTTGAAGGAAGTGAGTAAATAAAAATAAAGGAACAAATCTTTGGGTTCGGATCAATCCCCTCTGAGGATTATGCCCGATATTCGACTTCATTCAGAATCGTGCCGACGTATTATATGCGCATTTGGCCTATACAATGACTTGCGACGGCCAGCCGATGTACAAGTCAGTGCTTTTATCCTCCCAAACGAGTTTGGCACCAACCGCTCGATCCTGGAGAAATGGATAGCTTGGTTGGCCCAATCGGATGTCGATCCGGGATTAAGGAACTATTAAATATTTGAAAATAAGCAGGGAATTTTTTCATTAAAGTTTCCTCTGTCTGTGTTTTTCAATGAAAAATACTAAAATTAAGTGGTCAAACACCTCTACCGCCCAGTATCTCGGGCAATTCATGAAGCATTGAAAAGCCAAATTTCTATGTGATTCTGACGTGCTGCTGTTCTGAAAATCTCTACTCAAAAACGTTGATTTTTTCCAGTGCCGATCGATTTGATGCAATTACTTTTCTCACCTTATTTTACTCTATGATAAGTGTAATGGGTATAGCGATGGCTGCTTTCATAGTCCGCCGGCTTGCCACGAGGCAGTGCTAGGGGGGAGGAGGGCGCAGACGGTCGGTCAGTCCCTCGAAGGGCTGTAAACAAAGAGAGACAAGATCAAAAANCTCCTCCCCCCTAGCACTGCCTCGTGGCACGCCGGCCGGCCGGCGGACTATGAAAGCAGCCAATAGTTCGATCTTGAAGCAGTTTTTAAAGACCAACCGCCACCTCCATTCGGGATCGCTTTCTATGTATGTAATATCATTGGAACCAACCTTATCGAATAACCAAAACAAGGGTTGCTTAAAAGGTAGACTATCCATCAGGGATGTTTCAGTCTCATCACTACTTCATGCGGAAGCAACGGTCGACAAGCAAGCGTCGGCAGAACGCTGGACGACGACGAAGAGCACGATGTTGTTGCGAGAATTGTGGTATGTTGTACCTACAATCAGGAGGATCGTTCGGGAATTGTTCAGGTTGTTTCAGATGTTGAAAATGGATGTTTTGGTAACTGCAAAACTTCTGGTTCGGAACTACCACGAAGGTTCGTGATTCCATTTTGTCATCAAAACCTATCCAGGTGCTGCTCTCGTTCATAGCACTCTGAAACGCCAAGATTGGGACCTGATGCTTGCGCTCAGATCATCTGCTACAAGTGTAGAACCGATCGTTCCAACACGTCAATCGTTACCCAGCCGAAGTTGACATGGGAAAGTTCTTGCTTGACCTAACAATGCATTTATTTACTCAACACCATGACGTGACAGAATTGAATACTTCACTTATAACACGGAAAAAGTGCTGTCGGAGCGTTGATCTGGTTAAGGCTCGGGAGAGCCGTTCGTTCTGCACCCTCCTTTTGGGGTGGTTTTCGATCTCAAGACCCTCATACTTCACCTATTCAACGATTTAGCTACTCGTACTTACCGGAACCTGGAACCTGATGTTTACGGTTTGCTGGATTCGTTTACAGTTCGAACCGGATCTCCGACGAAAGGGAGCTTGAAACGTCCTTGGATCGAGTCCACATTCGCCCGTCCGGATATGTAGGTTCGCCGGAATGGCTATGCCGTGATTATGATAAGGAGAGCGATATGAACAAACCACCGCCAATTGAGGAAACTTAAAAGCCAGTTGGTACAATAGCGGTAGCGCTTACTGAGCAGATATCGGTCGTATCATAGGCATCTACTTCTCCACAGTAATTTCGATCATTTGATACCAGCTAGTGATGATTTGTAGTGTGATTGATCAGGTAATCGAAACTTACCTCCCTTTCGCAGTAAAGCTACTAAATCGCTGAAGGCACGGGTGCGAATGTTTAGGTGAAGGCCCCGACTTCGAGATATCTGTCGATACTGATAGGGCACATTTCAACACTGTAATATCGATTGCTACCATCAATCAATAACGGCGGCTTCATGCTGTTTACACAATAATGCGACTTGTGAATTAATATATCATTACGTAGCCCTACTCAAAATCGTAATTATAAGGGGGCTTCAGACGATATCATTGCTGCTGATCTCTCAAGCAGTCCGGATTTGAGAACTGGTTTTTCTGTGGTGTTCTTAAATTTCCCCGGCTCTAATCCGTTCGCGGATTTCGCCGATTTTCCACTGCGGCTTCAGCCAGGCTAAGCCAGACTTTTCTCATAGTTTTTTTGGAAGTCGATTGACTCTGTGAAGAGCTCTGCTCCTTTATGAAAATTCCAGGGAAAGCACCCTGGAAGGCAGATCCTGTTTGACTACAGGACTTGGGATCGCCCTGATTTTTCGTAATTGGTTTATAGGTCCTTTTTCCAGATGCTTGATCATTAAACGAACCCATCCTGAAGATGGTATAGAAAGAACTGAACTACGTTTGGTTACCTATCAAAAAGCTGGAGCTAAGGCTGATGTGGGTTTGTATAGTCTCTGTTACAGTTGAAGATGTTTCAGCTGGTGTATTTTTGTTCTGCCAAGAGGAATTTGTGTTAGCTATAGGATTTAAAACGGAAGGCACCTCAACAGATGGTTTTACAGCAGGCTCATGTACTGATGGAAGCAGCTCGATATCTACAAGATAGAGCAGATGATGCCGCATGCGATGAGGATCGAGGGACGGGAGGTCGATCAAGACCTATCAGCAGAGGACCTAGTCCGTGTACAAGGGTTCGTGAATCATTCAAACTTGATCTTCAGTAGACCGTTTCATATGAGCACTCGAAGACACATTTAGCTACAAACGGGTGACTAATATTGGTCATGACGTCTGCGCTCTCTTGAATGCACATAGGTACTAACAATAAGTTGACCTGGCTACGAATACCCTGCAGAGCTTTAGAATCTGACTCTCCACGAACAATTGGGTTGTTCTCAATACTCTTTCTTTTAGAGTAACTCCATATATCCATGTCTCACCTGCGCGAAACTGGGTACCTTCCCAGAAAGTTGCCTGCCAATCCAATTCTCAGCTTGGACGCGTCGGCAATGAAATATGGAAGTCAATAATAAAGTTTGGTTAATAAGTAGAGTAGTATAGCGAGGGTTGTTGAGGATAGGTTGAAAATTGCTCGGAAGGGGGGAGGTGGACTTGTGATATGCTTGAAAGGCGTATGTGGTATGTACTAAGCAGGAGCTGGAAGGAGAAATACCACGTCGAGCGAACTACAAAGACTGAGCTGAGGGAATCCTGGCGGGTAGCATGAATAAACGTTTGACTTCCATTCTGAGTTGTGAAACAAATGAACCCTTACCCGGAAAAGATGAAAATAGCTCTGCAAGTCAGTTACTCTGAAACAACTCTTATTTCAAATCCGATGTGTGTGATTGTTGTCACGACCATTTACGACCTGGAAATGAGGCAATAAGAGCAAGAAGTGTGCCTGAGTGAAGTGTTCCCTATCGAGTTCAAGGGGTCGAGTTGACAGACTTCGGCCTCTTTTTGCTTGGTTCCACGACTGCGACCTCTATCCCGCCATTCAACGCCATACATCGACTTCTGGAAGCCAAAGGTCTCAAGAAGAAATCCTTTGCGTGACTTGATGGGAACGACTTGATGATCCTACTTATGAAACATGGTTTTGAGCATGAAAAAGTGGAATTGAGATGTTAAAGGAGCTTTTTTGATCAATTCTTTTATAATTGGGAACAATTCTTCTATAAATGGATAAGCCTATCCGATACTCAAGAAATAAACTGGTCTCTAGAATAACAAGCGTTTGATTTGGAGGCTCTGATCTCTGCATTACAGATGGATAGAAAATCAGGAAATTTTGGGAAACGACAGGGCATCCGACGGCAACCGCAGGGGGGGGGGGGGGGGGGGG